GAGGGAGAGAGGGAGGGAGGGAGGAGGGGGTTAGGGTTAGGTCCTCAGGGTGCACCACCTATGATTGAATCCTGGTGACCATATAATAAGAGACAGACCTGAGGACATATGCATACTGTGTTCCTTGTCTCTCACCAAGTGACATTCTATACCACTTTTGGACTCTGTCAGCAAGAAGGCCATTACCAGATGTGACCCCTTGACTTTGGACCTTCAGAACTATTTTCCAAAATAAACCTCTTTTATTAAAACTTATCTAGACTGAGGAATTGTATTATGGTGACAGAAAATGGACTAAGACAGATGAAAAAAGTTTTTTAGAAATGAGTTGACTTTAAACAAGTCAATAGAATGTAGGTGGTCTATACCCTAGTGACATCTTAAATGTCAATTTGGTAACCACTGGGGGCCATTTATGGAGGGACTTTAGGAATGGAGGGGACGTGAACCAGAGGCCTCATGCCTCCAACCCCCTTTCAGCTCCCAATTCTCCTCTCTCAGAATCTTCTGTGTGCCTGAAATCACCTCTTCCTCTGTTTGCAGGGTCCTTTGTGTGTGTCTACACAATGGCCTTATTCCATTGTGGAGGTGACTGCTTCCCCACTTGCTTTCCTTCCTAGTTGTGGGCTCCCTGGGGAACTGTCTTGTACTGCCTGCAGTGCCTGGAACATACAGTTTGCAGAAGAGAATTAATGAGAACTTGAAAGCTCTATATCCAGAGCTTCCTGAGAATCCACAAGCTAGCTGAGGCCAGCAAAGGAGGGAAACACCAGTTCTAGCATGATTCTGAATGTCAAAGTGATTATTCAGGCAAAGGGAATCCACATTTTAGGATAAAGACAGGTCATGGCTTTCCAGAAAGCAGATTCCTATTTACAAGGACTCTGACCCAGCAGCTTTGCCATGGGAGAYACAGGTGCCTGTAGAATAAAATTCCCTGTTTCTTTTGCATTTTTAGCTCTGCTAAACTGAGCACAGTTGGATGTCAGTGTTTACCTTCCGGGTATTCCCGTCTGTCTCATCCTCACTAGTGCCTTCCATTTGGATTTCTATTCTTGCTTTCAGCTGACTCTCACCGATTCCCTTCTTAGCTATTGATATTTAATAGACTACTCTTCCTTGAAGCAAACCCATTTTTCAAGAAGACTGTGAATCATTAATGCAGTTAATTGAAAGGAATGAAGCAATAATGGTGGAATTATGGACCAGAAGGGAAAACCCCTTTAAGTCTGAATCATTTAGTCAACTGCCTGCTTTGCCTTGTTATAAGTTCACTCAGGCAACCAAACAGAACAGTCACAACTATGTTGTGCCTCTCAGCCTGAGATAGCTGGAAACCAAGTATGCAGACTCTGGGTTCAGCCTATTGAGTTCAAATCTTGGGTCCTTTACTTGTTAGTTTTGTGACCCTACACAAATTTAAAAAACTCTCTATCTATAAAGTAGAACTATTCCYTATCTCTTCTGGGTGTATGTTCATTGAAATAACCCACATAAAACAGCATAGGGCCTGGCCCCCAGTTRAGGTTGTGCAAATGCAAGCCATTGGAATATCTTAATTTCCTCATAGAGGTACAGATACTTGACATGCAATCATTTATTTTGTAGGCAGGATGCCTACCCTGTATTGGCAGGAGAACTGGACAGGGTAACATCTTCTTGCTGAGTGACCAGCAGGACTTAYGTATTCTCTCTGGGTGTGTTTCCCATCTGCAAAATGAAAGAGGAAGCAGGGATTTTGAGGGTTACAAAAACAAATGTCTATAGGGGACAGATAGGTAAAATCACCAGAGACTTGGACAGACAAGAGAATGGTGGGGACTATGTTAACTGCAGAACTTTGTTACTCAGAGTGTGGTCTATTGACCTGCAGGATTGAAAGAACACTGAAGTTTGTTGGAAATGGTAGAATTTCATACTTTTTCCAGAACTAGGTCTGCATTTTAACCAGATCACTAGGTGATCTGTAGGCACAAGAAATTTTGAGTAAGTTACTAGGGAGTATAAGACATCTAAAGGTATTAAAAATTATTATTTTTAAAAACTTTGGGCTTCATCAGGACTTAGACTGCTGGAAGTGCCCATTAGAGTTGGTGGTTTTAAATATATATATATATATATATATATATATATTTTTGTAGTTGTAGATGAACAGATGCCTTTATTTATTTTTATGTGGTGCTAAAGATCGAACCCAACGCCTCACACACGCTAGGCAAGTGCTCTACCATTGAGCTACAGCCGGAGCCCTAGAGTTGGTGGATTTTAATATGCTGCAGCTTTTAAGAGACTTTCTTCCTAATAGAGTCCTTTTCATCACAAATTAGTGCTCTGGGCATGTGGATAGGTGGCAAAGCTCAGAATAATATTTCCTGGAAGGCTGCAAGTTGCCTAAGGAGTTATCTGTTCAGCTCTTTGCTCTCTGACAGGCAAACCACTTGGCCCTACTTTGCAGAGRAGTTAAGTGAGGCCCACTGACCCAAATCCAGACACTAGGGAATGGTGGCATGAAGGTATTTACACCAGGAAAGAAGATAATCCCGGGTAACTGGAATCGCTGTCCAAGGCCTGGAAAGTTTGCTCATTTCTTTATATTCTCCATGCATAATTGTTCTCCGTTCCTCGGGGCACCTCCCTGCTATTTCCTTGCAGCCCTGGTGACCGAAGGTTTCCTCCTTCTGGACAGAGAAAGCCCAGAGCCGCCTTCAGAACGGATATCCGGCCCGCAGCACGCAGAAGAGGCAATGGCCTCATTGTTCCCGGGGCCAAGTGGCCCCGCCCCCAGCCCKCAGGACACTCGTGGTGGACCCCAGTTGCAGGAGAGATCCCGTTTCCCCGGAATGAGGCTTTCGGAGGAAGCAGGGAAGCGGGGCTGAGCACACATCTAGGAGTCTGATGTTCTGGGCAGAACAGTGGACGGAGCTAAGAGCCCTGCGATAAACAAGTCCGGAGTCTGAATGCATTTCCCTGCCGGCTCAGCTGGCCTGGCTGTTACTCACTGAYGCCCCACGGCAGACTCGGGCGATTCCCGCTGCCTTCTTATAACCTCATCTCAGTGAGTCTGAGTGTAATGATGATAGTTGACCTGCGGGCCCCGCGAGCGCCAGCCGATTTATTAGCAGAGCGCGCCGCTTCCCACGCCAGGATCCCCGAATCCCCGGCGCCGGGGGCGCGGCCCGCGCAGACCCGCCACCGCCTGGGGGCGCTCGGGCTGCGCGGCCCAGGACTCGGGCGCTGGGTGGCTGGCGACTCGTGGAGTCCTTCCCGCCCTCCGAGGAGACAAAGTGCACTTTTGTTAGCTAGCTGGCGCGTGTGCGTGAGCAACTGCGGGCAGTGGCCTGGCCAGAGAACGGAGCTCAGTCCCTCGTGGGCCGCGTGTGCTCTGAGRACGCGGGTCGCGGCGCGCTGCCGGGCCGACGGTCTTCCACCGGAGCTCGCCCTGACCCGCACGGCTCATGCCGGGTGGCGGTGCTTCGACCGCCGCCGTGGCTTGTGGGCTCTGAGCAAAGAGGATAGGGGGCAAGACGGCCCGCGCTCTTCTCGGCGGCGCTGCGACCGACTCGCCCCTGCCCGCCGATGTCCCTCCCGGGGTGCGTCTCGGGCTCCCGCAGCCGCTCACCCGCCCCGCTCCGCGCGGGCCGGGGACTACAAGTCCCAGCAGGCCCTGCGCCGTGAGCGCTGCGGCGGGAGGCGCGTCCAGGCCGACGCCTGTGCAGTGAGGCGGCCGGAGCCTGCGAGTACCACACCCCCGGGAGGGACGGAGGGGAGGCTGAAGCATCCGAGGCATTAAAGCATCCGAGGGAGCCGGAGGGGAGGAGAATGGAGTGACAGAGACACGCGGAGGGTGGGGGGTGGGGGGGAGAGTGTTGAGGGAGGGGGGAGGGGGGACACAGAGGGAGGAAGAAGCGGCGGCGGCGGCTCCTCTGTGCAGAGGGGGAAACTCCGAGGGCTCGGAGCAGGAATAATGCGGTAGGCAAGGCGGGCTGCTGGCTCCCGGCTCCGGCAGCGCGGCGGCAGCCCGAGCAGCGGCAGCAGCAGCGGCAGCGCCCCAGGCGCTGACAGCCCCGCCGGCCGGTTCCCTCGCTGACCGTCGACTGTCAATGGAGCTGGAAAACATCGTGGCCAACACGGTCTTGCTGAAAGCCCGGGAAGGTAAGCGGCAGGGCTGGTGCGTGCCTGGCGCATTCTCCGCGGGCCGGGGTGCGGGTGTCGGGCGGCGGGAGTGCTGGGGCTGTGCGCGTGCAGGATGCCCGCAGTGAGTTGTTGCGAGCAGGACCTCTCGGAGAGCTGCTCTGCCAACCCTTCAGGGATCCCACCCTTGAACTCAAGAGAATTTGAACTTGGGCAGAGAATGTTGCATGGATTAGGATGCTGAAATATCCCCTGGTTTCCAGCTCTCACCCTGCACATCGTGCCCTTTCGGCAGCTGTTGAAAGGTCAGTTGAAAAAGCATTCTTTCAGGGAGAGACGAAAATGTGCGAATAAAATAGCTTTTCGAGTCGGTCCGAGATGATCTTGAGTGCGAATTGGTGAGTGTGTGTGTGTGTGTGTGTGTGTGTGTGTTTTGCGCGGGGGGGGGGGGGGCGTTGGAATGAGCAGAAGCCAAGTCTTTGCCTGTTCAGGCTGTTGATAGAGACTATTGCTGGAAACCATCCGCTGGGAATGTTTCTTAGGGAAATCCCGTCGTGTGGAAGGAAGCCTTTTAAAGGCAAAGTAAGACGTTGAGAAATTAGCCAGTTCACAGAATAACCAAAGGGTGGCTATGTCAATCACACAGAGAATAATTCAGGGGTTCAGGGGTGGTTATTACTATTTCTTTCTGAGGTTAGAAGACAGATGAAACTGAACTGTTTGGTTTGGGCTCAGTTAAGAAAGGTAAGTAAGTGTACTGGTGCTTAGATGCCTTTTGGATGCAAATCATTAGACTTCCTGCGTTTAGCTGTCAGGAAGTGTCATCTAAACGGAGTGGATAATATCCTAAGTCATACCTATAAGCACATATTTTGATTCTTCTTTGAGATGAAAAAAGAAGAAAAAAAAGTGGCCCAGAAACTTAGATGCTTCCTAAAAGGATTGTGTGGTGTATGTATAATCATACATATTGAGGAATACCTGGAATTTATGTAACATCTCTTTTGCCAAGATTCGGGCTCTGGTGTGCAGCTTTTTTATAAAAGGGGAAGTGGTTTTTTCCTTTCCTGGGAGGAGGCTTTATTTGATACCCAAGGTGGAAGGCTGACAAAGTAAGATCTTGACTTTAGAAGGATCCTCGGTGTGCAGCCCATGAAAATGCCATACCTACTTCTTAATATTTTCATTCACCCACTTTGATGAATGAAGGAAGAATTTCTGGCCAGCAATAAAACGATCTGTGTTTATCCAGCCCATTCCATCACCTTGTGGCTCCGTACATGCTGTGCGGGAAGGTGATGTACAACCCKCTGTGAGCTGGGTTTCAGCGACTCAAACCCATGTTCTCGTCACACTTTTGCGGTCATTTGTCGCTCTAAAGCAGCCAGCAGCCACCCGGAAGATTTGTTTTGAAAGCTCCAAAGGGAGCCAGTTCTTTGAAACCCCTGAGCAGAGTTTAAAATATGCTGGTCCATCCCCCTCCCCGCTTGGCTCAGCTTTGCTGTGAACAGACTTTCAGGGGAGACTGTTACTTGGTGACTTCAGTTCTAAGGCCTAAGATCTTTTTGTTTTGTTTCTTCCCCACCATAGCTTGATGTGTTTAGTGAACCGGATCAAGGTGGGGGCCGATCAGCTCTCCCCTGGGCCAGACTGCTGTCCTGAAAGGGGAAGAAGGGGGGGGAAGCCCCTGCTGGCAGCCTTTGCAGCCAGCCACCTAGTGGTGGGACACAGTTGTACATCTCAGGGTCCTAGGGCTGGGAAAGTTTTTACCCTCCCTGGGTTCTGGAATTTCTTGGGAAACCTTTGCGTATCATGGTGCTGGAGGCCTTGTAAGTTTCACTGGTTGCTCCTGTTGCCCAGGGATCCTGCTCATCAGATTTGCTGTGTTGGACCTCTGTTTGCCTGGAGGGATGCTCTTTTCTTCCCTCAGCATTTGGTTGCTACTTTTAAAATGGTTTACTTAGGGGCTGGRGATGTGGCTCAAGCGGTAGCGCGCTCGCCTGGCATGCGTGCGGCCCGGGTTCGATCCTCAGCACCACATACAAACAAAGATGTTGTGACCTCCTATAACTAAAAAATAAATATTAAAAAAAATGGTTTACTTAGATATCCATTATCCCCCCCCCCTTCCCACGTTGTTCTTCCCAGTGTTTTTCTCTGAAATGAATTTTCCGGCTGATATTTTTGCTTGTCAGGTTTCCAAATGTTTTTTTTTTTTTTTTTTCAGCGCCTTAGGGAGGGACTGCAGGCCAGAAGCGTATGGAATGACTGACTCCCATTGGGGCAGAAGTACAGTGATTAGAAGTGCTTAAGAATGTGCCTTTTGCTTTTTTTCCTTTTAAAGTCTTTTTCAATTTTGCTGTGAGGTTTCGCTAGTCATCTCATGGTGAGAAATAGCTCTGGATGATGCTTTCCAGAGGGGGCGAGAGGGCTTTGCCTGTAAGGAAGCGGGATTGACATGAATGAGAAATTAATCATTTACACGGAAGCTTCATTTTAAAACTTGCCTTTCCCCTTTTCTCTCTTATGTCTAGAGAGAATCCATAATTTTAAGAGCTTCTATTTAATAAGGGCCGGGCCTTTATTAAAGACTTAAGCCTGTATATCCTAAAGAGTATGGAAGGTTTTAGAAGCAAAAACAATTTATTTTTCTCTTTTCAGTGCTCTGTTTGAGGTTATTCTATTAATTTTAGTAATTYTCCACATAACCATATTACCTAAATATTCAGAAATGAAAGTTTCAACCAGGTTAGTGAAATAGGTAACATGAACTTTATAGGGCATGAAAAAATCTGAGTTGTTTTAGAATGTTTAAAAACACTTATTAGGGGGCTGGGAATGTGGCTCAAGCGGTAGCGCGCTCGCCTGGCATGCGTGCGGCCCAGCTTCGATCCTCAGCACCACATACARACAAAGATGTTGTGTCCGCCGATAACTAAAAAAAAAAAAAAATACATATATATATATTAAAAAAAACACTTATTAAATATTCTTGCGAATCGTTACAGATGAGAAATATAAATGGCAAATGTGCGATTTAATTTAGTTCACGTAACAAAATACATTGTACACAATTTAAAATGTGGCTTTCAAGTAAAAGTCACATTTGTCCCAAACAATAGAGAGATCTTGAAGAAAGATACACTCTGTGAATGCTGGGATTTGTAGTTGTCCATGATGGTGGGTGACTTTGGGACCTATCTTTCCATATTATTATACATTCTTTTTTTTTTTTTTTCAACCCCCCCCTATTATTATACATTCTTAAAGGCAGATTTCTTGTAAATTCATTGTACCTTCAATGAATATACATAGTAAGACATATCTAAAGTAGAAAGTGTTAATGAGGCAATGAAGTAGAAAACCAGTAAGTGGATTAGAATAAAAATGATTCTTTTAAAATAATTAGAAAGCATAGCAATCAAGTCTCACCTTGTGACAATTGTTTTGAAATAAGATAGAGATCTAAGTTCAAAATTCTAAGTCCACTGAAATGTATTTTGTGGGCTGTTTTTTTTTTTTTTTTTTTTTTTGGTCCTGATCTCGTAAGAAAACATCAACTTGTTTACTCTTGACTTTAGGTTGTTCACCCCAAAATGGTTAAGGAACAAAGAAGGAAATCCAGACTGAATTCACACCAATTTATAAAAATGAGCTAAGTGATTAAGCATTTAATGCAAAAGAGACCCAGACTTACTCTTCTATCTATTTACATTTTAGAATTTTAGAAAATTGGCAGGCAAGCTAGTGTTGAAATAATGTTAGCAAGAAAGAGTTTTGCAGAGTGCCTTTTGTGTGTTTCTTTTTAGTTTATTGTCACAGCATCATAGTCTAGATCTGTTGTCTCACTACCAGGGGAACACTGGTGAGAAGAAATTTTGCAGGGACCCACTTTTCCTTTCTTTCAGGTCCTTAGTAGCCATATCTGGTCAATAAAGATGTCACCAGAAGTATTGATCACATTTTCCTGAGCTGGACCCTAGCAAGCACAGGAACTGAGAAGTTTAGGAACGATGTGATGACTTTGCCATTTGTCACAAGAATATGCAAGAACAATTTTCTCAGATAATTCTGTGTCTGGATCTTCCTGATGATCAAGATTAGGGACTGGAGGGAATGTGGAGCTGGGGCCAGGGGAGAGGTTAGGGAGGGCAGCAGGCGGGAGTGAACTGGCATCCAGCCCTGGGAGGGGCAGGCTGGGTCTTGGACAGACCTGACATTCCACAGCAGGGCCAAAGCCAGTGCCCACCACTCCACCTCTTTCCCCTGTACCCCTTGTTCCCTTGCAAAATTTCTTCTCACTAGCTGAAACCAAAACACGACTATATTAAGTGATTAGAGTATTGAGATGCCCGAAGCTCACAGCCGTCTGACAGCTTAGCTGGGGAGGCAGACTTAACACCCCTCACCCCCACCACCCCTTGCCCACCCCAGCTTCAATCTTAAGGCGTGGAAGAGCAACAGCTCTCATCCTGGCAAAGGCTACTGAGCGTGTGAAAGCGTCTGGCCTAATAAACACAATGCTGTTAAATGAAACTGCCTTTCATTTTTTTTTTTTTTTTTGTGAATTTCCTTTTCAGTACTGACAACTTGGAGGTAGAGAAACCAAAAGCAATGTTTTCAGAAGGCCTTGCTCTCTAAAAGAAAGTTTTCAAATGCTGATTGTAGTTGATCTAGCTGCCTGTTTTTATAACCATCAGATAAATGCCCACAAGACTCTCGTCTTTCAGTAGCTTAGCTGCTTCTTGTCAGATTCTAAACTCTAAAGAGCATGATTCTTCCAGTGCCCAAACTAATCCTTGTTTAAATTATGTCTTCAGAAGCCATAACTCTTGTAGTGGCTTGCTAAATGATACTCTTTGGGTCTGCGCTGAAGGCTTCAAGAATGCCCAAGTGAATTTCAGGAACGGCTCTAGCACCTTTTTACCAAGGGCTGTTCAACCCGTGCCTGGCAACTCTCAACGTTTTTATGAAACCATTCAGGACTATTTAAAGTTAACATTCGTTAATATTTGTTTCTC